CTTGCGTTTGTCACCACTGATCACTATAGCTGTGGATGACTGAGAAAAATAATACACAAATCTCATCTGGCTGATGCTCATCACTGCCTGATATCTCCAAGATTTAATCAGATGTAAGCCTTTCAGCAGCAATAATCCAAATCCTTATTGATTCCCAATCTGTTTGTAATGCTAGCTGGAAGCTTCAGTAGGAGTCTTTGAATCAATTAAAGAATCCAGATGCAGCTGCACTTCAACAGCAAATGGTTATCCCACAAATTTCCACGACTGCTGTGCAGCCTTTGACCTTTAGTACATGGGCTCATCTAGTATGAGCTCCTGAATAGTGAATCACGTCTATTGATAACAGGCTTGATTTTTGTGTTTTATTTTGCAGTTGTGACTTGCTGTACTCTTAGAAATAGTCTGCAGGGATTTATGGCCACAAGTTGAAGACTGCTGCTGTGGGGCAATGCAAATTTCAGAGATCGGGCTGAAGTGCATGAGAACAAAACCTTTTCTGTTACGATAATCTAGTTGTGAAATTGCTTCAAAAAAGGTCATAGATATTCAGGATGTGGCTGAGGTGCTACCAACCCTCTCTCAAAACTGCTTTCCGTCATAGAAATGGTATTTGACCCCCTTTCTTTTCCCATTTCTGTGCACACATGCATGCATGTCTGGATTGTGTGGGTTTCTCTCATGGCACTGTGGCATTACCATTTCTAGTTGTCACATACCGTGTTAGCTTACAGCAGTGCCTTAACTGCCTGAGCCTTAACTGCCCGGTAGAAACTGGGGAGAACCAGCCATCTGAGAGGAGCTTCTAAAGAAACCAGGCAGCAGAGCAGGGGCTTGATCTAGAAGGCAGATAGACTTATTTTTTTGTCATTCTCTGCTTCCCAGGGAAATCAGACTCGGATCAAAAAAGGGTATTTTCATAAGCAATTCCTACTGAGTGCAGGAAAGTGCTGGCACTTTCGCAGGGTAGGTTGAGAACCATTCAGGAATGCAGGTACTTGAGGAATAAGCATGAGCCAAGAAGCGTGTTCCAGAACCTCAGCAGCAGCTAGACGTTTGACTGAAGGAGCTAACATAAGTGCCTTTGTGCAAATCTGTAATCTTAGATGTGTTTTTCAGCATTTTCTAAGAATAGCTAAATAAAATATTACCTGGAAAATGCTGACTTACATAAAAATTGAATTTCCCTTAAAATGAAAATTTTACAAGTAACTACTTCAGCTTAAATACTTGTACTGATGAACAGGAAAGCAGTATTAAATAATATAAGCCTAGGATGATTTTCTAGCAGTTTACACATCTTTCTCTCCAAAAATGTTCTGGATAAAAGAAAAGTGATGTATAATATAGAAGTGAAACTTCTGCAGTCTTAAGCTTATCCTTATAGCCAATGTCTTTTTCTTCCTTTTTAACAAATTCTCTTTCAAATCTCTCCTCAAATTCGTTTATTTTTCCTTGCCTGTCTGCTTTGTACATTCTCCCCCACACCCTCCCCCTCATTTGTTTGTTTTCTTTGCCTGGTGTTATTCTTCATATTCAAGATGCCAGAATGAATAGAGGTCCATTAAGCATAATCTAGTTCAGACTATTTATTTTATACTTTCACTCTTACATTTTATGTTTGTCTGATGTGTTTTGTAAGCTCTTTGGAACAGAGACTGATTCTAATCTCTCTGCTGTTCTCATGGTCTTTTCATTTAGTTCAAAGTAACTGCACTGGTCTTACTAACTTAAAGTAACGTGAAATAAAAAATTATGCTTACTGTTACTCTTTCACTTCTGTAAGGGCACTGTTTTGTTATGATATGGAGCGATGACTTAAAAGTTTGCAACTGCAAACAGTCATTCAGTTTTACTAGCAACAAATTGGTGCATATGAGATCAAAATCAGAGCTATTCTAGCATGCTTGTAGAGGTGGACAAAAAAGTTGAATTTAATTCTGAACTATGGCTAAGTTATATATCCTAATTCTTTTTTTACTGGCATCAACTTTCAAAAAAACTAGCACTGAAATACATGAAAATTCCAGTAAAATATTATGCAAGTGAAGTGCTTATACATACTTTTCTTTTGCAATATTTCCATTGCTTGCACGCTGTTTCAACATTCAGATTTAACTACTTGATTTTTAATACATTTCATTCAGTCAATAAATACAGAATATAAGCGTATTAAAATGGAGGGGGTTATAGACAGCATTTTCATGTTAAGAATTGTCAGCAAAATCCTTGAAAATGAAATGAACTGACAACTATAATCGGAGCAGATGCGTAAAGTACCATTACAGCACATTGCACTATTAATTATGTGTCAAGCAGGCTGCCAAATATTAAGTGTTCTGACTTTTGTTATTAATAATAGAGGCAGACACTGGGGACGTCTGGAAGACAAATAATGTAATGTGTGGAAAATCTATTATAGGTTTGATTTTGTTAATGGATATGGAGCCTATTTGATATCCTACCCCTCCCCTTGCAAGCTATAATTTTATGAAAAACTGGACATACCGTATAGCGGAAAGCCACGCTGTGAAATACATACTTTGATAGAATAAAATGTTCCTAAGCTAAGTAAGTAATAGGAGGGGAGTGCTTGTCATCAGGCTTTACTGCTTTATTTATATGTGTATTTGTCATCTCCCCTGTTCCTTGGGAAGTAATGTGGAAGAAGTGAAATGAAGCAAGCTTGTCTTTAGTGATTCTCCATTCATTCTTCTATTTTTAAGTTGTTATTTGCTCAGTGTCATCTATCTTCTTGTAAAGATTGGCTAGTCAGAGGTTTAGTCAATGGGCTTTTCCAGAATATAGCTTCTAGCATTTTTAGGTCATCATGCAGCATGTTATTGATAATACGTAAAAATGACAAAAACAGTAGGATGGCCAACCAAAAGACCGAGATAAACACTTATAAAGGGAGTGATTGTGTCTAAAAAAAGAAAAACAAAAACACAGAAAACCAAGGCACAAAACCCAACCCCTTAAATGACTTGAAAGAGCAAAGAGAATAGAAAACTGGAGACAGAGAAAACTCCTTCCTCTGCAGGCACTGATGCTGCTGATTTGCTGCTTCCTTCCCCATATAGACTTTAGATCCCAGAATGTCTTGCCAGTAAGATGTTCAGCAATTGATCCAGGATTTCAATCAGTGCTCTGCAACTGATTTTATGAAAACCAATGGACTGTTTACATTTATCAGAAAGCTTACTTGGTAGAATTTCTCTTATCACAACAGTTGTTAACATTATATTACTTTCAGACAATAAAACAATTATTCAGTATTCCTTTTTCTTTCTGTTTTTAAACTTAAGATTATTTGGGAATAAGTAGCTTGGTGACAGTAATTGCATCTATAAACAGTATGTCTTTCTGAGCTTCACTAATATGGGCTTGCATAAGATTAATGAAAAATCCAAGCTCCTCTGACTTGTAGTACATTTTTGTTGATGTTACTTTCTTTGTGTCTTGTCGTATATTCTAAATGGATGTTGAATTCTGGATTTCCATTGCAAAGCCATTTTAAGGTTTTAATTGATTTTTCCAGTGTCCTACAGTAAAAACCAATGCACAATTAAGAAAGAGCAAAGAATTTGGAATAAAACGTAGGGACCAAGATAAGTATATTTTTGTGACGTTAACTAAAATTTGGACAAAATCAAAAATGTTGCCAGACAACTTCTATATTTACAGAAGCAGTTACATTCCATTTAGAAATTCTTTTTAACAGTCCTTAATGAGCTGATGCTTTTACTGTATACAGGACACTCTTCTAATCAACCAGAACTTAAGATTTTGTTTGGTGTTCATGTCAGCAACAAAGTTTGACTGTTGTACAAAATGAAATCACTCCACAGGCTCCTTGTGCATATCTTCCTTTAAACAGTTTGGCATAGATGGGAGTAGTTTGCTGCAGTTAAAGATACGTGCCTTTCACAGACTTACAGTGAATATACCAGGAAGAGATCATTGATCTGTGTGTGCATCAAGGTAATATTGGAAACACATTGAAAAATCAACATATATTTTCTATTCTTCCCCCATCCCCTCGCCCCCAACTCTGGGCACTGCATATACTGTATTTAGCACACATATATGGATTTCCTTCTCCCTTTCTTGCTAAATCGGATTTTTTTTTTAAAGTAATGTTATATATCCTCTCCAGAAATTGTTTTTCCTTTTGTTTGTATTAAGTGAGCACTTCATGTTGTAGGCACATGGCACTCTAGCCTGTGGAATATCCAGGAAGAAATGGAGTTGAAAACAATACTTTATTAAATTTGATACAATGCTTTGTTAAAGCCACTAATTTCTTCATGTCTTGACTTTTATTCATATGTATTTTATATGTGGATACCAAATTTTCTGTCCAGCTGGAAAGACATGACTGGCTTTCCTGACCAAAAAGGATCTCATCAACACACATTATTTCTAACAAATATGACCTCTCTCCTGCTCCATACCCTGGCTGCTGATCAGCTAAGTAATTTTGAGTTCTCATACTTATTCTTCTGAAGATCTAGGCCTGTGCCTTGAATATGTGACGGCAAAAGCCAACGTTTTGTCTACAGTGGGCTGCACAGGCTTTGAAGGGATTCATCACAGGCTGGTGAACTTTTGGTTGGATTCTCTTTCCACGTCACCCCCCTTGATGCACTAGGACCTCCTAGGATCAGCTGCTGCGTGACTGAATGCAGTTTTCATTCCTGTGCCTTTACATAACTGGCATCTGGCCTTGTGACAGGAGAGATGCACCGCCTCCATGTCGCGACCTCCCATGCCGTACACGTTCCTATCGCGACACTGTCATCCACTGCACCGGTGCAGCGACCTGCTCCCCGTTACTCCACGGGCGTGTAGCACCGTGCTCTCCAGAAACAGCCTGGCGGGAACAAGGACACTCAAACCTCTTTCCACCTCTTGAGAGAGGTGGAAGCAAGCAGACAGTGGCCAAATGAGTTGTTTGTTCAGTTTGGATTTTTGTCCGTGACCCACCGACTGGGAACATGTGCAGCATCCTGCAAGGAGAGCAGGGCTGGTGCGGTGCGAGATGCTCTGTGCTGCCAACGAATTTGAAGGCAAGGCCCCAAGATACCGCTTACTGGGTGGCTTGGGTCAGAGACAACTCTTCCTGTGGAGGCAAAGAAAGAGATGAAGTCCTGAGTGAGGACGTTTCTGAGAGTGATAGCTCGGTTTTTGAAATCTGCCGGGACAAAATAGTTTGTTGTGATACTATAGTTAGCAAGGCTTTAGTGAAAACATGGTTTTTTACTCCATAACACTTGGACATATACGATGACTTTGAAATCTGCATTAGCTTTGGCTTCTATAGAGCAGAAATGAGGCCTGTGAATCTGCCTTACTGGTGTGTTTCTCGTGGATTTGGTGCCTGATACGGAAGCGGATGCGACAGCACGTGCCATTTTGTACCCTTGTAGTTGTTTGTGAGACAAGGAGCAGTTTTGGCGCAGGTGAGCTAGTTCAGAACTAGTTGTTTTACATAATGTTCAAAATTACTGAATTGAAAGGATTTCTTTTTTGTTAATGGTGGAGTTTGATAATAAATCTCAAATTTCAGTTTCTGTGGTTTTGTATCTCTGGTTTTAGACACATGTTTTACACTGTTACAGCCTGGTGTTTCTTGGACCAGGGCAATGGTTTTGTAGTAACCTGTGCAGAGCCTGCAGCCGGCTGCTAGACACTTTTTTACGAAGTGTACCTCTATATTTCATGTCTCATGCTGCCATCTAAGGGCCACGTAGGCTGAGAAGGTGGCTAAAGGTTCTTCAGTACTTTTCTTTCTCCTTACTGCTCTTGCCTTTGGAAAGTCAGCAGTTCATGGATGAGGAGGGTGGGCAGGGCATTTGGTGTTCTATGTTATTTCATCTAAGCAGACAGACGAATCTTTCAGATAATGGAGAAATTAGAATGTAAATCTGAGTCTTTGAGGAAAGTGCAACTGCAATGAGTTTCTGTAAAAGCCAGCAAATAAGAAAGTGAGATTACAGGACTTGAGGCTACTCTTGAAACAAGCCAAAGAACGTAGTGCTTTCAGCTGAAAGTCCTAACAGTGAGGGAGCGGGCGGTTTAGATTCTGAAGGTACTAAAGCCCTTGACTCCTGATTTAAGGATTAGTGCTTTATAATAGAATTTACTTACTAAGATTTGCCCTAAAAAGGTGAAAAATAACATGAATTATTTTCTTCTGTTTTCTAATTTCACTGGTTTTGCATTTCTGGGGTGTTTTGATTTTCCTGGACTAAGGGAAATTGGGCAAAAACTTGGTGTTACTTTAAGAATGTGTGGCGCTGAGGGAACTGGGGTTGTTTAGCCTGGAGAAAAGGAGGCTCAGGGGATACCTCATCACTCTCTACAACTACCTGAAAGGACGCTGTAGTGAGGTGGATGTCCGTCTCTTTTTCCGAGTAACAAGTGATAGAAAAGAGGCAATGGCCTCAAGTTGCACCAGGTGAGATTTAAATTGGACATTAGGAAAAATTGTTTTACTGGAGGGGTTGTCAAGCACTGGAACAGGCTGCCTAGGGAAGTGGTGGAGTCACCATCCCTGGAGGTGTTTAAAAGATGTGTAGATGTGGCACTGAAGGATGTGGTTTAGTGGTGGACTTGGCAGTGCTAGGTTAACGGTTGGACTTGATCTTAAAGGTCTTTTCCAACCTAAACAATCCTATGGTTCTAAGAGTGTGTGATATTAAATAACATGAACATAATTTAAATATTTTGGGGTTTAAGCATTCAAAATTTTATCACAAAAACTTTTCTTTCCAACATAAAAATGCTTTTTGTTGTTGTTGTTAATCTGCAAACTGTTTGTATAGGCTTAATTCTACAGCTCCTTTCTCACACAAATGTTTTGAAATACAGGAATGATAAAGAATTAGCAGTAGAAGCAAAACATTTCAGTATTTGTCAATATAGTACTGTTGGCATTGACTGACAAAAGCAGTTTCTGTAATGAGGACCCCTTTGAGCACAACTTCATTTTAGAATGTTTGAGTTGTTTTTCGGGCTGGTTTCCAGCAAACCTTGTGTAACAGAGAAGGTAATTAATCTTGCGTGTTACTTTGACAGGCTCATGCAAGCAAAGACCTGGAAGAGCAGTTGCGGTCTGTGTCCAGTGTGGATGAACTCATGACAGTACTTTACCCAGAATACTGGAAAATGTTCAAATGTCAATTGAGGAAAGGAGGTTGGCAACACAACAGGGAACACTCCAGCTTTGACACAAGATCAGATGATTCCCTGAAATTTGCCGCAGCACACTATAATGCAGAGATCCTGAAAAGTAAGTACAGGACACTAAATACGTTCTAACACACGATAAATTAAAATCCAAAGGCTTGCTAGTTGTGTCAAAAAATATTTTGAAAGCTAAGCGTCATTAGTAAACTACCCTTAGCCGTTTGACTTGATGTAATGGCTAGAAAACAAAATCTCTGACAGTCAGCCTTCCCTAATGGAAGAAATTGCTCTGCAGAGGTATTTTTGGTACATCCATTAAAAGAAAGATAGACTTCTTTCTTAGCTCAACAGATGTAAGAAGTTCAGTGTTTGTCTTCAGGTAGAAGGAATCCTCCTTTGCAGAGGCTATAATGATTTTGCAGAAAGCAAAGAGGGCACCGATAGCTGGACCCATTGAACTGTTCTGGCTCTTTTTCTGCAATTACATCACGGCTGGTAATGCTGCCTTCTCTTACATGTTATTGCTTTAGGAGGCCAAATAATCTGCTAGTAGCTTTTTCCTGTTACAGGACTACTTTTATTATGATGTTACGCTGAAACCAGAAAAAAACAGCTTTGAAACAAATATGTCAGTACCCCTTAGTGTTTTGTATGGCCTGATAGAACTGTAATTAGCTTACTGTTTAAGCAAGTTCTTGAGGGCAGGGGAACACAGGATTTATAGCGGGAGGCGTATTTTTTGACGTGATATTGAAAATCATGTACCTTAATGGGGATTCTGAGGTAGGTAAAATTTCCATTTTTGCTGAGTAGCCTACCAAAAAGTGGCTCCAAGAGTTAATAAAAGGGCTCTACAGCTGCAAGTCTCATGGCTGTTTAGTGTAAGACAGCATTTGGCAAAAGGCTCGATTACACTGTGTAAAATGTTCTCCCAAATTTGTGTGGGTAATCTGGGCACAAATACCACATTTCAGGTTAAATCATATGGTGTACATAACTGCTAATAACCTTTTGCTTTACATGATGCTCTTGTAGTTAACAAAGTGAACGTCTTCAAATTAGTTTCACGTTAAGTGTGTAGGTATCACATTTAATCTTTTTAATATATAGTGAAGTACAGTGTGGGACTGGGTAAAATCACATTGCGGAGATGTGCAGTGCTTCTTTAGACTTCACGCAAGGTGGGGCTCACCCCAGGCATAGGAGACAGGACGTGTACAGCCTTAGCTGTGGATGTTGCAAGATCTGCCCAACCTTGTCAGGTTCCCTCTTGGCTCCGCTGTAATTTCTCTTCTGCTTTGTGACAATATGTCAAATCCCTATGATGAAGAAAAATTAAAAGTTAACACAGAGAGATGTGTATTTCGCTGAATAAAGGGTGTGACTCTGGCAATGCATATTCTGGTTCTAAACTTTAAAAAAAAAATCCTACTCATTTACTGCCAGAGAATATTGTTTTTAAACAGTTACTTTATAACACATGAAATTCCCTGTAACTTGGCAGGTATTGATACTGAATGGAGAAAAACTCAGTGCATGCCACGTGAAGTGTGTGTGGATGTGGGAAAAGAGTTTGGAGCAACTACAAACACCTTCTTTAAACCCCCATGTGTATCCATCTACAGATGTGGAGGTTGCTGCAATAGCGAAGGACTCCAGTGTATGAATATCAGCACAAATTACATCAGCAAGACAGTAAGTTCTCATGCTTATTACAGTCCAAGAGCTCCTTGCAAATCCATTTATGATCATGTGTATTTTAAACGTTCTTATTGCTACTATGAGGAAGGAAGAAAAATCAATTCCAGAATACTTAGGAAAAACAGTTGAAGACAGTACTGCCTGGAAGAAAGTGTTTAACACACTTTTCCCCCAGATATATGCTTTATTTTTTAGGGGAAAAAAAATTGTGATGTCTCATTCTCAGTTTTGACATTATCCATGAAGCTTAATTCTATCCTTTTTTGGTTTTGCGTCTACCACTTGCCTGCTGTATAAGGCAAGCACTCGCTGGAAAACAAGTCTGTAATTTTATTAGCAAAGACTGTTTTAGAACATATGCAGACAGGATACATGTTACGAATAAAGCCTTTTAGGAACTATACTGTATTAAGAGATATTAGTATAATGCACCCATTTGTTTTGTTTTAATGCATCTTCCTCAGGTGTATGTGCGGTTATTGTTCTTCAGGTTCAGGGCTAGTGATCAGGTGGAAGTGTGCAGAGATTGTGCACTGAGCCTGTGAGCTGCCTGTAAAGGAAGAGCATACATGCATTATTCTGTCTTAAGTGGCTACAACAATTATCACATTATCTCACAAAATTTCCCTCAAAAATAGTCACGCTTCAGAATGTTTGCTAAGGTATTTTGCTTCGGTTACAGTATTCAGTAAGTTTTTTGTTGGTTGTGGGCTGTTTTGCTTTTTACCTCTGCTTTCTGATGCTTTGAAGAAAACTAATTTTAGTGTAAATATTGCTTCCCTTTTCAACTAGATTCTAGCTGAAGATGCAGTACATTTCTATAAGGAAGATACACAACTGCCTAGCAAACTATAAAATCGTAGCCCATGGAAATGTTCCTTTATCATGAAACGTCTTAGTGCTGTGAGCCTTTTTGAGAGGCAATTAGGAAAAGGGGATGTAAAGAAAACAGAAAAAAACCAAATCATTTCTTGAATACATTTTCTGTCCTCACTCCTCACCAGATCTGTCTGTCTGGAATGATATATTCTACCAAGAACTTCCAATGCTAGATTTAAGCTAGTAGTAGCAGCCACAAAGCACAGGAATAATACAAGTCAAATAGTTTAAACAAGGAAAACTACAACATTGATTTTGCTCAAGCCCGTAGTTGTTCCCGCACACAGCTGTCCCAATTCCAGTTGCTTGAAATGTAATTTACATGTTATAAACCAAGAAATACAACCTTTTTTGGCATGTATTTATAAAGTTTAGCTTACTGGAATAAAGGAAGATCCAGTTACAGAAAGAGTTGTTCCATTTAGCACAGATTTCCTGGTCTTTGAGCGCCAGGGGTAAATAATCCCTTTCTATTCATCTTTCTGTTTGTATCTATTGAGTGAAGTCATTTTTTTTAATTTTTTTGCCTAGTAGAAAATGTTTAGTACTGAGCTTCTTTTTGAAGTTCTTGATGTGATTGGTGTGATATGATATAGGAGTAGTGAAAGATTTGAGAGACTCTGAAAAGGAAAAGGTTAAAAGACTTATCAGAAAGAAGAAAGAGGCAATAGCATTGTTTTGTTTTCTTACCTATTCTGTAAAAGCAAGCAATTTAATCTCTGAGTTTTCTGTCTTGCTTCTGCTTTCCAGTTTTATCTGGTCCTTGACAGAATGCAGTTTTAAAAAACCCTTATAAAGGAAGAGAGCTATAGCTATATCTCTTCATCTGTCATCATCTCAAATCTTTTTAAAGTTATGTGACCACAGCTTACCCTATATCAGATGAGAATTAGGAAGAAAAAAGTATTGGATTCAAGACCCTTCTGTGGAATTCAGGTACCCTACACACCTATTTTCACTACTGTTTTCCTTTTATTTCCTGAATGAACTAGAGAACAAATGGTTAGTAACCAGGCATCTTTTGGTTTTTCGTAAGTCACCATTTTTGTAGCTTTATTTTTGGTGCATAAACTCCATAACTTCATGCTGTTCACCCTGCAGAAAAAGTGCTGAATGCGAAATTAACTTTTCAGCTGGAGGTCTTACTGGGAAGGCAAGCTCTAGCATTGGTTCCAGACATTAAAATCTAAAGAAAGTTGATATCAGCTTTCATCAAAATTAATAAAAAATAAAAGAGCTAAACACAGGAATTTTTTTTATGGGGAGCAAATCACTGATTGCCAGGAGAATGGACTAGCTCAGATGTTCCCAGACTCTCTTGTGGAGCACTGTGGTGGTCCAGAGAGAGGTCAATAGTTGTCTAGTTCAGGCTGTGCTGCTCCTTTCTAGATACTTAACTTTATTAATAATTTTATTAAGAGAAAAATAGAAAAGTGTTCTGCTTTGCTTTTAATACCATTTTTTTCCAAAAAAACTGTTTCTGTAGTTGCTAAGGGGTGTTTATACAATCATGATTGGGCTTAGACAGTTTCTTCATTACGATGTGGTACGAGGTCTGTGAAAACATTTAAGGACCCCCTTAGGCTCATTGGTAAAATGAAGTAGATCTTTTTCTTCTCCTTGATCCATCGCACTGCAATAGCCCAGCTTTGGAAGCAGTAGCTTGTCTAATAAAGGTCTGTGGGGAAGGTGGTTGGGTTTTGGTTTTGTGGTGTGGTTGTGTTGGGTTTTTTTCTCTAATTCATTATTAATCAAACAGCTGTTCCCTGTTTCCATGACATGAGTAATTCAACAGCAGCTACAAAGATTGTAACTACCTGGTGCAGCAACACCCTGTCCCTCAGCTATACGTTTTTATGGCCCACCTTTAGGTACTTGCTTATAGGTTGAAGAGAAGCAGTCAGCAGATGTCAAAGAGCCATCTTGTTGCATTCTTCCTCCTGGCTGGAAGGATGGACAGTTTTTTGGCTTTTTTCAGATCATTTGATGTAAAGGTCCTAAATCTTCTCATTTCATGGTTACAGTAATAGTCCCTCAAGGGAAAACATCTTTCCAGGCAGTTTGAAATTAGATTTAGAGGAGCTTTTCTCACAGGAAGCAAGTTAACAGCTTCAAATTTTTTGCCATGTTTGAGATGTACATGGTGTTCCTTTGCACAGTTTGGAGATGCATATGTCACAGGAATTTTCAGTCATGTTGAACTTTACCATTTATGCCTTTTCCCATGCATTTTTCTATGTTAGACTGATGATTGTAATGATATAGTAGGTACTATTAATAGTGGGAGATGTAGCAGTATCATTTCCAAATGTTTTTTGTTAAAATTTCTGGGGAGAAAAAAAGCGATTCAAATATAAACTCTAAACTGCAGTCCATCAGAAGAACATAGTATAGTTAATGTAAATCTGGGAAAAAAATCGTACATTAATCCTCTGTTTGGAAAGTATCTAGAATGAGAAGCTTCCCTAATCCTGATATGAAAATAACATTTGTGATTATTTTACCTATCAGAAGGCAGTGATCATAATAATTTTATGCATGCTGATACAATGGATATTGGCACATATGATGATAGTGCTGAATAAATTAATTTAGCCATTGGCAAAGAAATAATTTATACAGAAATCAACAGTTTTTCTGGAAAGTATGGCATGGAGTCCTAGTCTAAAGTTGTCAGTGCAGTGAATCAAAAGTACATGCCTTTCTAAGGATCAATGAGGAGCAATATATGGGAAATTTTTTTAATGGGAATTCTGATAGTGCTTTTAGTCAAGCCTTCAGAAATTCCTGTCTGCTGTTAGGCTCTTTTTTTTTAATTTAATAAAAAGGGTTAAAATCATGCTGAGCTCTAGGTTGTGGACTAGGCTCTGGTGCCACCCATGTTTCTGTTCTCCACTCCAGCTCTATAAACGGCCAAATGGAGGGTGCTGCCAGTGTGGGAACTGAAAAGAGCCTACTACAGGGTGGTCTGCAGAACCACGCAGCTCTGGCTTGGAAGTTCTTGGCAGGATGGCTGAAGAAACAACGAGGTTGGGAAGAAGGGGAATTACTTAGCATCCCAGTAATTGCAGATTGCGGAGTGCCAACGGCCCAGTCTGGTTGGGTAGAGCAATTCAGCGGCACCTTTGCCCGCTGTCCTCTTGCTGTTCTTCTCACCTGAGAAGTACAGTACAGAGCATGTGCACTGATCTTCAAGGATTTAAAAATCTTGAAGTGTGTAAGACGGAAAATCCAAGAAAAAACATTGCTTGTAGTTGGACACATCATTGTAAAAGTGATCTAATCATTCACTTATCTTCATATTAGTCTGAGAAGTTCTTTAATTATATACTTGCCTCTGCTGGGAGGCTGGAATAAGAAGCTGACGTTCGGGTCTAGGATATGCCGCCTTTTAATTTTGGCTAGTGCAGTGGTATGAAGGTTAAGTATTAAGCCTAAAATACACCTTATTACAGATTATGTAATCCAGATGTAAGAACTAAAATGACCTTCCTTCATTTTGAAGATGAATGTTTGAAGTTTAGCTAGGCCGAAAGACAGATAAAAAGTCATCTTGATAATGGTCAGTGGGAACTACAGAATATACATATCCTTAAAAAATAATTAACAAAAAAAGTCCTGCAACCAATTCTTTTTTTAATCCATATAGTACCAAGGACTGTCATGGATTTAGCACACAATTTCTGTTTAAGCCATTTACTGTACAAGGGTCTTGAATTTTTTTCTCTGCCATATGCCTGACTCAGCTTGATGTAGTTTTTTTACATTTTTTAGTCTTTTGCTTTAAAGCTTCAGCAAAGGTGGTGGTTCTGCTTTTTCTTAGACTAGAGTGAGAGAGAATTATATATGGCTGTATCGTTAAAAAACAAAATTTGAGATTTTTTTTTTAATCTGAAAGAAATTTTCATGTTCCCTTATTTTAGGTGACGTATATGATACTTGTTTGTATGAGGAATGTGTGTTTTGTTCTTTGAGACAATCTGCATACTTTTAAGTGTTCAAAAGAATGACCTAGGAAGCAGATGGAGTTGCTGGGAGACTTAGATTTATTTGTAATTGGAACACTTTATAACTTGGAGCTAAACAAAAATCTGATGCAGTTTCAAATCTAGGCA